TTAAATTAAAACACACTAAATATTGTGATAGATTTATTATGTAATAAACCTCCATAAATAATGAATTAAGATTTGTATTGATTTTGAAATAAAACTCCATAACCGATATATTAAATATTATTTATTTTTATTAAAATATCCTAACACATGCTGCACTACGAAATTTGGCATGGTAATTTTTTTTTTTTTTTAGCATGGGTACAAGTCAGTCAGCTATATTCAGGAACGGAATCAGGATTCTATCCTTCATGGGGCCAAAATCTAGAATAAAAATATTCATTTAATGTAGATTTATTTGTTCTTTAAATTAAGATTTTTTTTTACTGACCAAATTGCATTTTTTATTTTGAAAAACCACTCACTTAAGCAGTAAGCACTACACAAGAAAACAAAAAAATTCAAAAAATTAAAAAAAAAAAAAAAAAAAAAAAGAGAATGAGATTTATCACATTTTATTTATCATATAATATAATATTATTGCATTAGCAACAAATATGAATTATAGTACTTTATTGGACTTCTACGCCCCAAACGTCCTCTCAATGCAACTATGCAACAAAGAGTGTGCCTTGTTAAACTGTTTGTAGTCATCCGGCGGTTGTCGGTTCTGAAATGCATTTTGGTGATACCGGTACCCCTTGAACGGTGCCAAAAAACCTTTGCAGCACTTTATTTTCGTGGAATTTTATGTGGTAATAATATGTGCCAACACTGTTGCACGCTTCCGGCAATCTGTCATCAGTTTCTTGTACGAGCTCGACTGTAATTTCATCAAGTTCGTCTCGTAGTGTTGTTAGACCACCGACGTTACTAGGACTGGCATCGTCAAGCAGATATTATTATCAAGTGCTGCAAATATTATCAAAGCAGAAATAATATCAAATATCATCAATTATGAAAATCCCATGCATTTTCAAATATTATCAAAGCAGAAATTGGAAAATCTGTTGACAATTATGCAGCAGCAAAGGAATGGAGACCCCTGCAAAAACAGCGTGTTAGTAATTATGCAAACCCCATGCATCATCAAATATTATATCAAAGCATAAATTGGAAAATCTGTTAACAATTTTTTAAAAAAAAAAGTGCTACAAATTCCAATTAGGTGTAGTGAAAATGGTGAAGGCAGCAAAGGAATGGGGACCCCTGAAAAACCAGTGTGTTAGCAACTATGCAAACCCCATGCATTGAACCAAGGTGCACAGAAATTTCTGAAAAACAAAGCATGCATGTCTCAGCCATGCAAAACATGGGGTGGGCTCCGGCCTGTTGGACCGCCCAATCCAATCTTATATTTTTAAGATTTGAAAAGGTTGTTTTAATTTATAGAGCCAAGTTAGTCAATATTTTCAGCCCAATATAGTAATGGATTAGGTTTAAAATTTATACTTTTAACCCAATCTAGCCCGGCCCTACCCATTATTAAATTAATTAACTAAATTTAAATTTATATTATTCAATAAAATTGTGAACATTTTTTAAAAAAAAATAAAAAAAAATTGAATACGTAACATTTCCCAAATAAAATTTTCCTCCACATATTTTCACATTCAATAACTTTACATACCTAAAAATTTATTTAAAATATATAAATTAAATTTAGTTTAAGAATGTCTCACATCACACAAATTAAATTAACCCTATATATATGTAACACGTTCTCAAGTACATGACATTTCTTTTTCAAATTAATAATGTGGGACAATGAATTTAAGTGGAGGAAAAATGCTTCGGACTCCAACTGGGGTCGACCCCTAGTGAAGTGGCGCGCTGTGATTGAATAAAAAAAAATTATTTTATTTTATTTTATTTTTTTTTGTTGAGTTTCAGCCAATAAAGACTCGCCATCTCACTGAGGGTACGACTACTGAGGTCTGCAGCACAATTGTTAAGTGGAAAAAAAAAATTGAATACGTAACATTTCCCAAATAAAATTTTCCTCCACATATTTTCACATTCAATAACTTTACATACCTAAAAAATTATTTAAAATATATAAATTAAATTTATTTTAAGAATGTCTCACATCACACAAATTAAATTAACCCTATATATATGTAACACGTTCTCAAGTACATGACATTTCTTTTTCAAATTAATAATGTGGGACAATGAATTTAAGTGGAGGAAAAATGCTTCAAGACTCTAACTGGGGTCGACCCCCAGTGACACGCGCTGTGATTGGATAAAAAAAAAATATTTTATTTTATTTTATTTTTTTTGTTAAGTTTCAGCCAGTGAAGACTCGCCACCTCACTAGGGGTGTGACCCCACTGGGGTCTGCAGCACAATTGTTAAGTGGAGAGAGAGGGAAGTCACCATGTGGATTATTTGACCTAAATTTACACCATGTATATATATATATATATTTGCAACACGTACTCGAGTACATGACGTACATTTCTTTTTCAAAATAATAATTAAGTGGAGAGAGAAGGAAAGTCACCATGTGAATTATTTGACCTAGGAGCATTTGGATTTGGATTAGGGTTACGGTTTTTTTTTTTTTTTTTTTTTTTTTTTTTTTTTTTTGGTTACGTAGGGTATTATGTGCTAGTTTTTGCACACCAAATCAAATTCTTACAATCTAAACGAGTCTTTCAAAACCGATTTTTCTGCAATATGTGGCTTCAAAAGTTTTATGTTAATTGGAAGAATTGAACATGAGATCTAAAGAGAGTGGACTCCTAAATCCCAAATCCTAAGCCACTAGGCCAACCTTGAGGTGGGCTAGGAATGTTAATTCAGGAGAAAATGATGTATACCCAATCAACTGTGCTTATCTTTTACTAGCACAAAAAAATAAATAAATAAACTACACTTATCTTTTGTTTGTTTTGGTAGGAAATATTTTATTTTTTATGATTTTTTTAAAAATGTTTTCTGCTATTGTTAATGCAAGATTTTTATTCTAGATTGATTTGTCAATTCTTTAGATAAAACCTATTCAATTTGTATTTTTCTATTTGAGTTGTAATTAATTTTAGAAGTGCAAGTTGAGGCATGATAAAAATTAAATTTTGGTTTGAAATTAATTTGGAATAAAAACAAGCATAACAATACTATTGAATGAGTACCCGGGCCTCATTTGGAAAGCAAGTTGAGATTAATTTAACCCACTAAAAGATAAAATAAACTAAAAAGTTAATAAGACAAATATCATATCTAAACCATAATTATTTCACATTTTCTCCTACAAAACTACAAAAAATAAAAACCAAAAATTCTTTTCAAATAGAACTTTTTTAGCCAAGTTAAAATAATCCAAAAATTAAAAACAAAAAATCAGGTTAATTTTTTTTTTTTTTTTTTCCCAAACGAACGTTAGAACTTAAAGTACAAAATACAAGCTTTAATGCAACAGAACACGTAAATTCTGAAAAAAAAGTGCCCTGGTATGACCAGAAAATAATGCTTTATATTTTTCTCCTTTTTTTGGTTTGTTCATTAAAAAATTGGAGAATTACAATGCGGTGAGTTTTGAAAAAATATTTATATATATATATATATAATTTAAAATTTTTATTATTAATATACATAAATTTTACCACTTATGAGTAATTTATTTTTACATTTACACTGAATAGTATTTTTCCCTTAAAATTCTAGTATAAGAAGGATTGATAGTGATTTGAATTGTATACTGATTTTTATTTTTTTAATTTTTTATTAAGTTGTTAAATTAGTACTTTGTATAAGTTGAATTCACACCCAAGGACTTAAGTCAGTGGAATTCAAAATCTCCTCTTGAGAAAAACTTTGTGAAGCAATTACATGTTTAAATATAGTATTTGATAATTTAATTTAACACTTTAAATTAAATGTATTAAATAAAAATCAATTAATTTGTGCAACAACAACAATTAGTATGATTTACAAATTTAAGTGATTCTTAACATATAATTTAAAAGTTACGAGAAATTTAAATGATAAAAAATTTACTTAATACTAATTGAATTTATAAATATTATGTATAAAACGCCGATATATATCGTTACCACTATAACTATTGCCACCACCACTACCCATCCACTAATGTCACCTTTTCATCACCACTATCACTATCGTCACTTCTATCACTATTGTCATTATTACTATATACAATTATCATTTTACTACCACCACACTATCATTAATTATAGTCGTAATTGCCATTACCACCACCACTTCGAGATAAATTTAGAGATGAGATTTCATGATTGCTAGTTTTTTTGTATTACTAGGACGGCATATTTTAGATTAGGTTAATGCTATGCATACCATATGCACTTTTATTATATATTTTTGTAATATATGTTACGTATTTTTATAATAAATAATACATATTTTTTTTGGTAGAATTATAATAATTTGTGATTCAGAAATGATATTACGTATTTTGTAGTAGTGTTATGCATTTTTTTGTGTGGTAATATTATACATTGTTAGAAAATATTTAGATAAAAAAAAAATGCATAACATTACCAAAAAAATGCGTAACATTATCATAAAATGTGTAATTTCATTTTTGAACCACAAATTATCTCACTGTGTTAGGTTTCAATTTTCTGGAAATTGAGTTTTTTTTTTCTTGTTTTTTTTTTTTTTTGCTTTTAGTGAATATTTTTAAAATTTTCAGCAAATGTTTTTACTTTTTTAGATGCACTTTAGTTAGATGTATTTAAAAAGTAAAATATTTGTAAAATAATATTTTAAACAATATACAAGAATATGAAAATGTATTGAATTTTTATATATTTTAAATATTTTTGAAATTTAGTGAATTTTTTTATAAAAAAAAATTCAAAAGCATTATACTTTTTAAATGTATTTATGTTAGGTGTATTTAAAAATTTAAAGATTACTTAAAATATTAAAAAAATTTAATGAGAACAAAAAATCACGCAAAACAAAAAAATTTAATTTTTTGAAAATTGAATTCAAAACTCAAACCAAACAAACTCTATAAAAAAATTATATAACATGTATCGCAAAAATATGTAACATGATGCATACGTCCACACAATTTCCCTTTAGATTAATATGGTGGCGTTTGGAGGCACAGCATATGGTTGCCTGCTTACATAAAACCTTTCCTGCTCATTCTCTGGCCAACCATCTCTCTCTCTAGTGATCTCTCTCTCTCTCTCTCTCTCTCTCTCTCTCAAAGCTGCTTAACAAACTTCTTCCAAACCACATTACTCCAACACCACAAGCCTCGTTCGAGAACTCTTGCTTGCCGGCGACATTGAAACATTGCTCCTCCATTTTATCATAACAAACTTACTGTTGGTAAGGTTTTAAATATTGGCTGATATGTTACTGCTAGAAAAGGTTCTAAGGCCTTGTTTGGGAACAGGCTAATTTAGTAACTTTTTAGTTATTTGGCTCAAATATGAGCTAAAAAAAACTAGTATGTTTGGTTTGATTTTTTACCAAAAAATGTGCAAAACGTAGCGAGAAAAGAGAATATTTGACTTTTTGGTATAGATTGTTGATTTTTTTGACTAATTTAGTAACTTTTTGACTTTTTAACTAAAAGAAAAGATTTCCAAACGAGACCTAAATATCGATTCCAAATACCGGTATTCCAAACCTCGGATATTCGATACCCAGGCCAGAGACACCAAGAGACTAACGCTATGTTTGGTAACTTAGGAGAGAAAAGAAAAGAAAAGAAATGATTGTAATTTCTCTCCTTTTTGTTTGGATAAGTAAGAAATAAAAGAAAAGAAATGATTGTGATTTCTCTCCTTCTTGTTTGGTTAGATTTCATTAAGAGAAAAGAAAAGAAATTATTTTATGTTATATTACCAAAATAACCTTTTTATATTTTCAATCATTTTATTTCTTTTATTTTTATAGGGGTAAAATTGGTATTATAAAAATATAAACATTTGTGGATTTCTTTTCTCTCCCAATCTCTCCACTTTTGGGAAGATTGAAAATAAGGGTTATGAGATAAATGAGTTTCTCTCCATTTCTCTCCATTTCTTCCCATTTCTCTCCACTTAAGATAACCAAACAAGAGAAATACATTTCTCTCTATTTCTTTTCTTTTCTCTCCAAATCACTCAATCCAAACACAGTGTAAGGGGTCACATGCCCCTGACATTTAATTATTAAATTATATATATATTATATATTATATAATATATTAAATTGAATTCGGTTTCGGGTTGCTCGGGTTGGCCATTGGTTCTGCCCAAGCCCGGCCCGAATTGCAATTCGGGTATCAAAAATTTGCCCAAGCCCGTCCAGATTACAAGATATAGTTGCCCAAACCTTAAAAAAACTCGGACTGGGCTCGGATTGCTCGGGTTGAGCCCGCCCGAGTTGCACCCCTAGTCTTAGCTAGAAACTGAAACACAATCCCAAACCAAACACACATATAGCCCATGTCTTGACTTTTCAGTTTTTGGGGGGTTTTGGTTTATGTAACTGACGCATTCGATGAAATTTAAAATTTGATTTGGGGGATCCTAGACTCTTTGTTAAACATTAACAATTTATTTATTTAAATTCTTAACTTGTTGAGCAAGGGTCAATCTAAAAAAAAATCTAGCTGAGCAAGGCTTTCAGTGGTAGCCGGGAAGATCTCCAAAACTCTAAAAATATGTGAATTTATTTATTTATTTATTTATTTTTATAGTACTTGTCAAGTGTTTTCGTATTTTCTTTGTCTTTTTTTGTTACTTTGCAATTTACAAACTCACGATTTATCATATTGGAATCACACTACACAGATTTGGAACCACACTACAACCTTGGTGCCTTGTCTACATTGTTTATAGGTAACTTTATTAATTATTTTTTACTTTTAATTAAAAATAATGAGTGTTAATTATTTGTTAAGTTTTTATTTGTAAAAAAAAAATGTTATTATTTATGTTAAAATAAGAGATTTTGATATGCTAAAATTATGAATCTTGATTGGTGATGATTTATATTACAATTAGAGATTTTGGTTTGTTGTTGTTTGTATTCAAATTAGAGATTTGATTTGTGTTAAAATTAAAAATATTAATTTTTCGTATTTAATATTAGCTCAAAAAATCATTATTATGTTATTGGTATTGATAGGGGAAGAAAAATTTTGAGATTATAATTAATAGATGCCTCCTATATTAAATACCCATTATTTACAGGTATACCGGTCAATACAAGCTGACATTCGGTGGTATCACAGATACCGATACGTTACCAAATACCGCTATTTACCATCTTTGCCTGGTGCTCTCCATTCTTCTCAAAATATATATATATATATATATATTTGAAAATTAAAAATAAATAACAAAATAAAACCATAAGGTTTGATCATTATAACAAAATAAAACTTAAGTTTGTAATTTTATCAATTTAAACTCTTATTTTTTGATTTTTTTAAATCTAAATCATTCCTCAATTTTCGTCAATTAAAATCAACTGAGAAAAAGAATACTTTAGTCATTAAACTCATTGTAAGCATATATAAAATGTCTAAAAAAAATTTATTGAGTTTAATGATTAAAATTACTCTTTTACATCGATTTTACTTAACAAATATAGACAAATAGTTTAGATTGAAAACAAATTAAGAGATGAGAATTTAAATTGATAAAATTAAAAATTAAAAATTTATTTGGTTATAAGAGTTTTTTTTAATATTTTTTTAGGGTAAATTACGCTAACACCCTCTGAGATTTCTGTTTTATACAGATTCTCCCCTCATATTTGAAAAATTACATTCTCCTCCCTAAGGTTTGTAATCTCATTATAAATTGCCCCCTAAATGCCTTAAAATTTTCTAAATGGCCATTTTGTTCTTTTTCCTACAATTTCTTCTTTTTATCATCATGATTACATTCTACAATTTTTCATTATTAAATTCTACCTAAACATATTCTTATTGAGTCATATACAAACATAAATTTTATATAAAATTTTCAAACACAATGATATAGTTTAATGATGACCTTTCACTTTAAAACAAAACACCCATACACATGATTTATATTTACAATAGCATCACTATTATCACAATATTTTTATGATATTTTTTGTATAAGTTTTTATATATGAATAGAATTTTTTATTTGTATTTCCACCACCATTTTTTTCTTATCTATTCACCCACATTTATTATAGTATTACTGAATTTTTATATTTTTTTTTGTATTTGGTGAATTTAAAAAAAAAAATCACAAAATATTACACTTCTTAAGTATATATAGATTAGATGCATCTAAAAAATAAAAATAAAAATAAAATATTAATTAAAAATTAATTTTTTGTGTGAATTAAACCAAAGAAGATGATTGTTATTTTACTTGAAATGACATGAACAAAATATCAGCATTATTTTATTATTTTATATGCATAAAGAATAAAGAGTAAATATGTCATTTTAATCTGACAGGGGGATAAGTGTAATTTTTCAAACGTGAAGGGAGAATTTGTATTAAGTAGAAATCTCAGAGAGGGTGTCAGTGTGATTTATCCTTTTTTTAATAACAAAATATTACACTTCTTAAGTATATATAGATTAGATGCATCTAGAAAATAAAAATAAAATATTACTTAAAATATTTTTTTTAAAAAATAGTAAAAAAAAATTAATTTTTTGTGTGAATTAAACCAAAGAAGATGATTGTTATTTTACTTGAAATGACATGAACAAAATATCAGCATTATTTTATTATTTTATATGTTTAAAGAATAAAGGGTAAATATGTCATTTTAATCTGACAGGGGGATAAGTGTAATTTTTCAAACGTGAGGGGGGAATTTGTATTAAGTAGAAATCTCAGAGGGTGTCAGTGTAATTTACCCTTTTTTTAATAGTTCCACTGATATAGTTGAGGGAGTCCAGCTGATTAAACTGATTCACACTCGTGAAAACTCATAGTCAGTATTTTCTAGATTTCAGAATATATTCTGAAAATTCGCTATTCTAGTGTAAGGATGTAAATCCGGCCTGGCCCGGCTCGGCTTGGGTTACCGTTCGGTCATGAGAGCTCTCGCCATAATTCAGGCCGAGCCGGTCCGGCTTGAAATTTAGGCCAGGCCCACTCAAAATAGGGCCACGGGCCAAGCCTATTGGTTTTTTTTTTTTTGCAAAAACTAATTGATATATATTATATATCTATATATGTAGATTATTTATGAGAGATAAAAAAATAAAATAAAATTTGTATTATAGTATTTTAATTAAGATTAATGAGATGTTTGGTTATATTTCATGTGGTGGTATTTAGCAATAGTTAGTTATGTATGAGTTGTGTTTTTTTAGTTATAAGGTGCATACATAGTCTTTTCCGAAAGAAATGGATGAATAATTTTTACACCAAAATGAAATAAAATATTATGAAAATTTATATCATTACATAAAATAGATTTAAATTATTGATAATGGTAGAAAAATTGCATTACTATAAGTCAAGTATATCCCAACTAGGTTGACACCTACTAACCTACCAATCATTTGCATTATACTCCACCTCAATAATTTAATAAAAATATTACAAAACTAAATAGTGAAAAAAATTATTGATCAATTATTAGGGGAGTTGGACAATTCACTTGGGGAGCCCAATGATATATCATCTAAATTGCCTTGAATTCTATCATTTGCATTACAATCTCATCTTCTTATAAGCACATGCATATAATTTCTCAATATCATAAGTGTTTGTACCATTTTGAGTGAAAATTTGCTGCGGTAATCGCTTAACACCCATCTACCTGAACTAAAAGTTGTTTCAGAAGCCACTGTAGAAATAAGAATTGTTAGTATACCACGAGCCTTCTGTGAAAGCACATGCCATATAGTTTGATTTTGTTTCCACCAATACAAAATATCAAAATCATCGTCATAATCCACAGGTGGATTATCCAAATAACGTTATAATTCAGAACTATTTACGGTTGTATTTTGTGATATTCTTCTAGTTTTTATTGTTAAAAAACACTTAATCTTTCATCTCAAGATGAGACTGGTGTAGTGTGTGTAGGTCTATTTGCAGGTACAGCTTCCTTATACTCTTCAAATAATTTTTTACATTTTTGCATTATTGGGTCAAATTGGTTTTCATCAGCGAAAATAAATTGTAAAATTTTTTGTAAACCAGTGTCTTTACACCTAGGATCAACTATGATGGATAAACCTAAAAGATGAGACAATAGATCAAAATATTTTTTAAATTTTTCTTTCATTGCAGTAATAACGATTTTATCATATTCATTACACATATATTTTGTGACAACTTTTATTATTTCTGCTAACATATGTAAAACAAATGGTGAGATAG